TTTTTTTTTATTATTTTCTCCTTTTTTCAATTTGTTTGGAATTGAGTGAAAAATCTTATTGACAAATCACAAATGTTTGCCTCCAGGTTCTCTGTAGAAGCCAAAGCTAGGATTCATGCATATTCAGTCACTTGTAAACTGTACTTTTCCCAATAAAATCTTTGTGGACCACTGTAATGTGGCATAATATACGTTCAGGATGAAATATGAATCAGCTATTGACAGTCTTTATCTTGCTAAGAAGCTTCATGAGAAAAAGAAGCAAAAGAAGTAACAGAATTCCGTACACCTGCATTGCCCATGCTTCCTGTTTTTCAACATCGTTTGTTTATATTCCTCCATAGGTTTCTTCATAATATCGGTCATGTATATTTTATTATTTTTCATGTCATTTATATCTTCTTTGTATTGAGTAGTGTACCTCTAAGTAAAGTTTTAAGTATGTCATTGATATACTTTTCTTTTTTCCCCCTTTATTTGTTCTTACCTCTTTTCTGTTTGTTGCTGAAACCTTGCCTCTGTATTTTCTATTTACTGTCGTTTTGATGATGTGAAGGTTCATGCTTGTGTCTAGGCGGCAGAGAGCACCGTCTTTGCTTTATACCCTGGTATATACAATAACTGATGTCTCTGTTACATTTTGTGATCAAAACACACATGGAGATTGTGATTTAGGAATTTGTTTGTATTTTCATTGCAGAAAGTATTATCTTATTTTTTTTTATTGATATCAAGAACATTTGTTAAAACATGTTGATTTATATGTAGTTTAGAAAAAAATTATTCAGAGTTACTGACATCACTGTAACAACAGTGCATATATAACCTTAACTTTATCTTAAGTTAAATTAAGCTACTTTTCATGAAATTACACTCGAAAGTCCGGTGTTAGTGTAAAATCAATTAGTATCTTTTATCTATTTTACTGTGGTTTATCTTGCTTGTAAATATATGACACCCAATGTTTCTGGTGAAAAACAGCCATTTTTTCACAACATCAAATGTTACAATGAAATACTGTTTTGACACAGAGCTGCAAACATGAGAGTTGGGCCACTAGAAATTGCACTCAAGCGTCCGGGTGTTAGTGTATCAATTAGTATCTTTTATCTATTTTTACTGTGGTTTTTCTTGCTTGTAAATATATGGCACATAATGTTTCTGGTGAAAAACAACCATTTTTTCACATTAATGAAATTTTACAATGGAATACTGTTTTGACACAGAGCTGCAAACATGAGAGTTGGACCACTACTGCAAAATATTTGATGGATGATGTCCCGGTGCTGTTAAGTTCAGACAACATTAATGATGTCAAGAAAGTCCTCTCCACCGTTTTCACATATCTGCCTTCAGATTTTGCAGAGTTCATTAAATGGGTAGCCGAGATTCGTAGGAAAGAAGATGGGGCTCAAAGCCTAAGTGAAGAAGAAAAAGAAAGGCTTACTACCAAGGTAAAATGCCAAGGATCCATGCCCACGTATTTCTAAATTCGCGACTCGGAAGATTCCAATAATTTCTCTAAAAAATTCCGATTCATTTACTTGTGAAAGATATCCTCTTGGGCTTGGGGTTTTATTTTCTTTCCGTCCTTAATGCAATTGCTCACAGAACTTTTGAAACATATTCACTATATATGACTAATCTTAGAATCATTAAAAAGGATAACTTGGTCATCCTTACTCTGTAGTCTGTACATCTTTCTTCAATCATAAATTACGTCTTCTAACGAACAGAAAAAAAAAAAAAAACAACTTAAACTTTTACGATTCTATTCTTATCCCATATATGATCACTTTTAAAACTAAATCTTATTTTCCCAAATAACCTATTTGCACAGTTCTCATCAGAACAGAAAAGAGCATAACAAAATGGCTAACATCGTCACCTTTTTTTCTTTTTCCTGATTTTTTCAGGAGGAGGTTTTGAAGCAAGTGCAAGAAACGGGCCTTTACAAGCTAGTGAGTGATATTCTGTCTTCAGAAAAACTAGTCTGCCAAATGAAGCAAATTTCATGCCACCAAGACAATTTATCCACTATTGCTGCTAACGTGTGCTGCCAAGGGGCCGGGATTTTGACTGGGAAACCAGGCCCATCATATAGATTCTGCTGCCGGGAGACATGTGTGAGATGTTACAGAGCTGTCAACAGTGACAAGCCTGTCACAGTAGTATCCGGTACAGTGGTCAATGGCAATGGAGAACAAGGAGTTGATATGTTAGTCCCCTCAACTCAAATGGAACATAATGGCTGCAGTTTGGGGTCGTGTGGTAATTCTGGCATGCACCCGGACAGCAATGATGTGCTTACAGCACTTCTACTCGCAATGCCCCCAGAAACGTGGTCCAACATTAAAGATGAGAGGATTTTGGAGGAAATATCCAGCTTAGTGTCGACCAAGAATTTTCATCCACTGCTTCAAGAAGAGGTACTTGAACTCGTTTGCCCGAACTTCGTTCTCCTGGTTTTCTCAGTTTTTTCTCTTCAAAGGGCTGTTATTAATATTGATTACTATTAATTCACAGAAATGTATTTTCGAGTTATTTAGCCTGATTGTGAAAATCACAATTACTCCATCCTTCAAAGTAAAACTGAGCCCCAGCTTAAGGTTTTGATTTTGGTTAACAAATACCTTGGGCTCAAAGAAACTACAACAGAAATCTGAGCCTTATTAGTGATTTTGAAAGATTTCAAAATTTTCCCTTGAAGAAAATGTAATTTTCATATTCTTTTAAAAAAAAATTCCTCTGTTGTCCCTTGTAGTTATTATCATTATTTTTATTTTGAAATGGTGTTGCAGATATTGCATTTGCGAGGTCAACTACTTATGCTCAAGAGGTGCAAGGATAACAAGGTAGAAGTAGAGCTAGGTGCTCCCCTAATCTAACAACTATTCCTTGTCCCTTCATCTTGTTCTTGTGTAATAATGTATACATTTATGCTTGTTATTCTGAATAATCGAGTACTCGAAAGCAGCACACTGACCACGTGCTAACATTTCAAGGCAACCACTGCAAAGCATTCGTTTGTTTCATGTTTATTTTAGGTCTTAGGTGAAGTAGCTGTAGGTACATCCTACAGACACAGATTGGGCCTGAATTTTCTTGGAAATGATGCAGTAGCAATACCACTCAAGAGGTTAAATTTATACGCAAAGCGTCCAGAAAATTATTCATTAATGCCTCGCCGAGGTTTAATCTCTCCCGGAGTAGGGAGACCTGGCATGGAGTATTCAGTTTTTTCTGCTTCAAATTCAAGGGGATCTATGATTGCTTGCCCCTTAACTTCACTATTATATAGAAAACAGAATTTTGGTTTGGGACATCCCCCTTTTCTAGTTTAACTTTGGAGGTTGATGAAGTTGACATACAGAGATCAATAAAATAAAAATGTAAAAATTAGTTGTTCTACAGATATATGAGTAAATTTGCTTATGAATTGAAAGTTCTGTTCATATTGATTGTTTTTTTATTTATTTATTTATTTATATTTTTTTTTTAGCACAAAATTTATGCTTGCTCCTCTCTATGTTCTCCTCTCTCCCTCCTTTTTAAAATTATTTTCATCATGCCAATTGTCAGAATTTGCTTGCTCGACTACTAAAATGTAAATGAAAAATAATAACACTAGTAATGCATTATCATATAATCCACAATGTCATTCTTAGGATAATAAAATCATTATGAAAACAAAAAATTAATGTTGTATAGTTCAAAATTGAAAGATCTAACGAGATTTGGTTCACAAGAGTTTTTGTAATCACAAGTATTATGCTAAATAATTTGTGCAATGAATTTTTTATGCTAAAAAATTTTGTGCTTTTTATTTATTGATGTATTATAATTTTTTTTTTTACAATTTTTTGATATTAAAATGATACCATATGAATAAAAATTTAACACATTCAAACAAGTTTATTTCATTAAAATTAGACGTTTACAACACACATAAATCATAGAGCACAAATAAAACCAACAATTCATTTGCAATAAAATAAATAAAAAAATATTTTTTTTTATTATTTGAGTAATTAACATTTATATAAAATTAAATATACATATATATCAATTTATGAAAATAAAAAATAATATATTTGATATAGAGTAAAATGTAGATGACTGGAGATGAATGTTCAACTCTAGTCTAGACTCTAGAGTAAAGTCTGCGCTATAATAGAGATAAGAGATGTATGATCTTGAATTGGAGGTCCAATTTGCAGGTTAAAGTACTGATTTTAGATAGCTATTTTGGTACACTTGCTTAATAATTTTTTTTTTATTTTTTTTTATTATTTTTTTTAATTTTTTTAATTTAGCCGAATCAGTTAAAGATAACCATTATTAAATTATTACACATAAGTTCTCTCAAAGTAGAGAAATTGCAGTGCTCTTACATCTCATGT